TCTAGCTCACAGTGTTGGTATGGTGCAATTGATCTTAGCACAGCTTTGTGCTGAGAAAGCTGAGCACCAGAAGGCATAAAGACATTACATGTTAGGCTGTGCAATTAGTCCTGAAGCTCTTAGATATCCATTCCTTTGGTACCTGCTCTCTTTTGACAGTGTAGAAAAGTCATGCAGAATAGAAGTATAATGGAGCATAACTGTATTTTTTCATATTGTTTGTACTACTTTTAATAGGTGACAGCAATGGTAATTGATTCCCTTCTGTAAGGCTGTGGATATACTGTGGATATACCTATATACTACAGGTTCCTTACAAAGATGGTGCTTGTGCTTCAGCTTGATTAATGCATCCAGAAAACAATCAGCATAGTCTTAATGTGAAAAGACATGTAAGAGTAGTGAGACATCTGCTTTATAGAAATAAATATTTTCTTGCTCATATTTGTTGTTTAAAACAAATACAAGTTCTGACATTTATTTAGTATATATATTTTGCCTCTCAGGTGAGTTTCAGTAGACAAATGATCTTTCGTAAAATAGCACGTGATGTAAACTGATTTTGCTCTGTGAAAGAGGAAACCATTGCTCTGTTAAGCTAGGCCTGGTAATACAGTTGGACTCTAAGATGCTTAAACCTAAGAGAAAGCTTTTTAATTGCTGCACTCAGCATGTAGATGGAAAGACTGTGAGGAGGGTCACCATTATGTGTATGCTGAAATGATTGTCTCATAAAAATTTTATTTTTAGACACAGGATTCAGAATAGACTTTAGGAAGTGAACTTCGTGGATCTTTCTGTTGAATTACTCTGTGAGTTACTATTTCAGTTCATAATATGAAAAATCTACAATGATAATTCTAAGGCAGCAGAAGAACCTGGTGCTGCCTCTCAGACTGCAATTTTCTGGATTGCAAATTTCTGATCTTTACTGTGAAACTGGACTCCATCCTTCATACAGATCTTGGATATTGACTGATTTATGTAGTTTTGAAACTGACTATTCTGCTTTTTTTTTTTCCCTGATAGTGTTAGGATTTTAAAGTTGTTGTTCCATTGTAGCTCAAATTATTTGCCATTTTGGCCTTAGTACTTATAATTCTTCACGTAATTCTTAGTTTTACAAATTAGAGTTTAGATGTAAAAAGTGAAAAGCCAAGAAGAGGTCACATCTCTCTTTGAGGATCTGATGGAATTGCATTCCATAGAATCGTAGAGTGGCCTGTCTTGCAGGGAACCTAAAGATCATCTTGTTTCACCCCAGCGTGGCCATGGGCAGGGACACCTCCCACTAGAACAGGTTGCTTAAAGCCCCATTCAACCTGGCCTTGAACACTGCTCGGGGTTGGGCCATCCATAGGTTCTCTGGGCAACCTGTTCAGTGCCTCACCACCCTCACAGTAAAGAATTTCATCATCATATCGGATTCAAATCTCCCCTCTGTCAGTTTGAAGTCATTGTCCCTTGTGCTGTCACTATATGCCTTGGAAAAATGCTGCTCTTTCTTCATGCATTGATCTTATAACTCTGGTTTGCTGATAGAGTAATGTGTTTATACAGAAGAAGTTGGTTGTTCTTACAGTAACCAAATCTTTTCACTAAATAATTTGGGTTTAATAATCTTTAATTATTTTTTTTTGCTCTTATCCAAAGAGACTTGGACCACAGAAGTCTGGAAGTAGTAAATTAAATTGACATAAATCCAAAACAAAACAACAGAGAGAGAAATTTCACCCAGCTTTCTGTCTTGGGAAGGTCTACTTTCTTGTCTAAAAAAATTAATGTTCAACATTTTCTTATTTTTGAATAAACAATGTCTTTAGGCTAGGAAAATGAAAATAATATTACTCAATTATTTAAAGATACGTTAAGTTTAGCAGAAAATTATACCAAATGCTATTTGAGCTGGAGACCATTGATAAGTAAAATTTTTGTTTTTTAATTGATATCATCAGTTACATCTGGGTTCTTAGAATTTCTGAAACTGAAAAAAATTTCACAGGTATGGTTAAAAAATTGAGCAGGTTTTGAGGATATTGTAGACCTAAATTCTATCGGTAAGTATGTTTTGGTAACAGCAATCTACTGAATATTTTAAGGTAAAAGCACAGGCATTTTGTAGGTGTTATTTAAGATCCAAGACTTGATTTGTTGGATTTAGTTTTCCAAGAAATGTGTCGGTATAGCCATGTGGGCAGAGACTGTAATAAGACCATTTTATTAGAAAATAAATAAATAAATTTACCATACATTTACCATAAAAATACTTTACAGTATTTTATTTAATAAGTATCACAGCATGGCAGTTTCTACAAATCTCTTTTGGAAGAAGAAAAGAGTAGGAAAATAACATCAAGGCAAATGAAGAATAATACTGTTCATATATTGGTCCTATTGAAGTCAATAGCAGAACCTGCATGACATAGAGGAGCAGGTTTAATGTAGTCTATGACTAAGGGAGTCAACTTAAATTGAGGTATGTTTTAAAGTACTCAGTATTTTGTTTTTTTAAACAAGAAAATAAAAAGTAATAATGCAATAAGAAATTAATAATTAGTGGAATTTCTGTAATTCTTATGGCTTAAAAGTCAGCAGCAAGAGTTGGACTCGAGGATATTAAATGTCCTTTTAAAGTTAAATAATTCTATGAGCACTTAATAGGTGTAGACTTCTTAAAGTAACAGTTATGTGAATTTAAATTGTAACAGATTGAAGTTGTTGGTTCTTTTTTTAGTTAACAGCATAGTTCTAAAGCTTGTGTTTCACATGGAGCTCTTTTTTTTACAAGTATCTGAGAAATCAGTAAGATGTGTGTGTCAAGCTGTAGGTGTATTTCTCTTTTGTAAAAAGAAAGAGTAAAGTTCAAGTATATAATAAAATCAATTCCAGAACCTGAGTATAACTACATTTCCTTTTTCTGCTGACACCATTTATATCTTCTAGGTTTTATTGGATTTTTTTTTAAATTTTTATATAACTCAGGTTTTGTTCAAACAAACATGAAGTCCAGTTTTCTTTAAAGCATTATTTTGATTACATGCTTTTTCTATTCCTCATTTTCTTGTTTTTCTTTTTTTAACTCTTGTTTTAATGAGCTAATGGTTATAAATAGGCATTTTACTGATCATAGGTGGTAATGACATCTGTTTGCAACTACATATGGCCTAAACTATGCAAAATGAGGAACAGAATGTATTTAAGGAACAGTCAGCAAAAGCATGGGCAACTTTTACTGTCTGACAAATTTCTAACAGTTACTGTGTGAAGAGTTGTGTTTTTTCTAAAACAAATACCCAATATCTTTAATTTGTAATTTGTTGAAATAGCGAGTTTATCTTAGGCTTTATGAAAAGCATATTCTGCATAAATAAAATGGCTATATCCATTCGTTTGTTTCTGACAAATAGTAAGCTTACTAAGGTGTATGCTTAATTGATTTGAATCAACTTTAGACCACTTCGCTTCTTGATTGGCATGAATTTGGAGATTTATTTACTTACTTTTTTTTTTACACTGCTTTTTCTAATTTTTATCGGTATACCTGACTTTTTTAAGTGGGAAATGTACATATGAGATCATAGTGCCACATGATAATTGTACCATTTTTTATTTTCTCTCTTGAAATGAGTATTTGTCTTAATATGCACAAACAATTGCAAGCAAGTGATGTTGTCAGGATCTTGTTAATAAGGGATAAAATAAAACTAACAGTTAGTCTTAAGAACATGTCTTCTGGGTCAAGTTTGTTGGTTGAAGACACTACTGCTTGCCAGCTGCTCATTGCTATCAAACACCACTGGCAATAGAGTTTCATGAGTTTCCCCTCATCAATGCAGTCCAAGGTCAGCTCAAGCCACTTCCATTGACTTTTAAACTAACCAGCCCTTTAAGTTATGCAATCAGTTAGGAAGGCTGTTTACATCATTCCTCCTCCAGCTACCTGGATGCATTGACCGTGTGGAAATGATAATGATATCATCTTTGTCTGGCACAGCTGTTAGAAGATGAATGTCTGTCCCCAGCCTTATCGCACTGAGGGAAAGTTTGAGCTAAAGCATTTCACTTGTGATTTCCATAAGGTGACTCAACAGGCATATTATTGCTGCTTACACTAAGCAAACAAAGCTTTGCCCCGTGATTGTTACAGAGTGGGGTGTGATCACACCAGGTAATGAAAATTCAACTGACAAGAAGTCAGTTGTCAAGCCATGGTAATTTGACCACTCTTGGTCATGCATACATGAGTCTGCTTCTGTATATCAGGGATATAACTAAGAGTGCTGCTACCAGTGAAATGTGTCCTCTCTGAACAGGTAAGTTGATCAGTGTGCAGCAGCCTTGTATTGTGCCAAGGAAGTGCTGCACATGGATTTATAGCTAGGAAAGGTCCTGGAATTCAATGGTTTAACAAAATAAAGAACCAACCTTGAGTAACACTGTGACCTACAATCTCTTTTTTTCTGTAACTCTGCAGTTTAACCACAACATTTGTTCTGTGTAAGGATGTAATGGCTACAAGTTGTAGATTTACAGTAAAAAAGTGCTTTTCTGAAGCAGTTCTTAACTAACAATAAGTTTGGTTACAGAATAAGCAGTTAAGGTTTTTTTGTTAGTGATACTTACAACTTGAAGTTTCACCAGAAACAAGTCCAGAAAGTGCAATATTTTGTCAGGAATTTAATAGGATATGACATACAAAATACCGTCTAATAAGTAGAATAAGTTATTGCAGAAGAAATACCTGTATAAAACAACCATTGTTAAGAATGTAAATTTAGATTTAGAAAATATGGTGGTGGTGTAAAAATGTTTCCTTAATATTTTGCGGTCTGGTTTTGATTATGGATTCATAAGTCATTTATGACAGCAGAATTATTTGCAGCTTTTACATGTTTCTGTAATATTGTTAATATGTTTCTCTAGGCGGTTTTATGTAAATGGTGTGTTACGTATGTGATTTTTTGTTACCAGTGTAATATACCTGTACTGTCATTTCCTAGGTATTTCAACAGCCTTCTTTAAGGGAGCTGGAGTGCTATATTACAGTGCAAGAATCTGAACTGGAGCTTTTGCACAAAAAATTGAAGAAAGTGGATCTTAACCTAGCATAATTTGTACACTACAGATACTCTGGAAAGCAACAATATAAGGACTTGAAGAAAGCATGAGGTAAAGTAGTTTTATTGTCTGGTGTATTTGTGTGTAAGTCAGGCTGGTGAAGCCAAACGTTTTTGCTCAAGGGTCCAGATAATAATTTTAATATCTGTTGACACTGCTTATAATTCTGGAAGCTTGTTTGAATAGTTCTTGTGTTATCTGCCAAAGACTTGTTAAAATAGCTGTTGGGAGTAGAAGGTTTTACCTTATTAAATACTGAATAAGGGATTCTTAATTAAATGAACTATTTGCAGGATAAATTCTTTGTAGATTTGCTAAAATTAATATTTATTAGATATTTTGTGGTGTTTATTAGAATGACCATCTTTCACTGTAAGGAAAGTGAGAGAAATATAAATGGTTATTATTATGTTTTTTTAAATGGAAAATATTTTTTCCCAAATTCTTGACTTTTAGAGTGGAATATAATATTTTTTTCTAGGAAGAACGACATCAGTGTCCTTTGAAGTTTATACATGCAGCTTTGTATAGTGCTGAATTTCCTCTTTCATGGAGTCTCACTGTTTAATTTAGGCATTAAATAACAATAACAACTATGAGCTGTAGTAAATGAGTGACATCTATAAATAATTCCATTATTTAAATGGATCTATTAATTTAACTGAAATCATGGTGATTTTCATTGTGTTCAGACTCTTCATCTATCTGGATAGTTGTCAGACTAACTGTGATCATGTAGATTATGGGAAACTGTTAACAAGGTTGCAAAGGTGAATGTGATTCTAAATGGCATAAATAATATACGATGGTGGATCATCATGTCTGCTTCCTGAGAAATCGTCTAATTTATTCAAATATGGTATCTCAGAATATTTTCTTTGAAAAATATATAGCTTGTTCATTCTTAATGATGTATACTGTATGTTAGTTTTGGGAAAAGACACACTTTAGAATATTTCTTCAGGAGCATGGGGTGGGAATTTCTGTGAAAATGTGCTTAAGAAAAAACAGGTAGTATAGAGTTAAGAAACAGAAGGTAAGAAGCAGCCTGGCAAACGTAAAGGTCAGGAAGGAGGAGAGAGAGGAGTTGCTTCATGTGCTGGAAACAGGTATTTCTCTGCAGCCCAGGGAGAGGATCACTGTGGAGCAGATGTCAATAATATAGCTTGTGAAGGAGCCCAGAGCAAGTGGATATTTGCTTTTGGAAGCCACAGCCTGTGGCGGGGAGTCGATGCTGGAACAGGTTCCTCTCTTACATGAGCTGTGGTCTGTGGAAGACCTGCTCTGAAATAGGTTTATCCTGAAGGACTCCAGCCTGTGAAGAGGCCCTGTGCTGGAGATGGAGAAAAGTGTGAGAAGAAAGACTGGCCCAATGGGAGCTGTTAAGCATTGATTGTAAACCTTCTACCTGAATGGCTCAGCAGGTGGTAAAAGAGTCAGGAGTGATGGAATGAAATTATGCCTGGGAAGCTGGGAGCTTCTTTTGGATAGGGAAGATGGTGTTGATTAAGTTTTTTTTCTTTATTTCTTACAATGTAAATATATTCTAAGGGGCAACAACTTAAATATATTTTTTTAAGTTGAGCCAGCCCATGATGCTGAGTGGTAAACTCACAAGCTTTATCATCCTGTTTTCTCCTATCCTAGTGGGGAAGGAAAGTGGGAGAGCAGTTGAGTGGGTGTTTGACCCTTTGCCAAGGTTAGCCCCCAACAGTGTCTTTTTCTGTTTCCTCAGGGGAAAGTAAATGAGACTGCTGTGTTCATCATGAACTGTGTCAAAATGAAGCTATTACACTGCCTTAAGTAAAACTAAATACAAGTTTTAAAGCCTATTGTAGAAAATTTCTTCCTGTTTTGATACATAGGTCTGAGTCATGCTCTTTGAATGGTCAAGGCTGTTTTGTCCACTTTTTCACAAGTACACAAAAATCTCTATTAATAAACTTTCGAGAACTCAACTGACGAGCTCCTTTATGTAGGCAACACAGTCAGTGAAACTGTGGAAAAACTCCAGACTTTCTAAAATGGAGAAGGTAGTATTGCTATGGTAGTACTTTACTCTTTTTCCTTTTCAATGAATATCTTCTCATTCCCTTGTTTTTCAGCCTTTTGTGACAAAATCATTACTGTCAGAAGTCATCAGCACATGATTTGACAGGAAGAATATGTGGGATATTCAATGTTTGTTTTAAAAAGATGATCCTTTTGACTTTACAAAGACTGTTGTGCTGCCCTTCATTCCCCCTTATGTACATTCCCAGGATACAAAGAACAAATAAGCATGGAATCACTTCTGATTAGAATGACAGTGCTTTGATGACTTACTGCTCCAAAAAAAGGTTTCAAAGGCTTTGAAAGAAGTAATTATTGGAAAGGTGTTGAAAAGAAGAGCCTGCTACAAAAAGAAACTTGGCACTAGTGCAATAAATTGAGATGTATGGCCACATAACTGCATGCTTCTGGCTGTGTTTATATATGCAACAGCATAGATACATCTATAGCCTTGTGTTGGTTTCTTTGTGAATTGCAGAATTCCACATCCCTTGCCTACAGTTGTACTGAGTAATAGAAACAACTTACTCTTTGAGAGGTGTTTAAAAGCTTTGTTAAATGTTGTTGTGATGTCCTGTTTCATGATACAGTGAAGTGTGTATTTAGAGGCAATTGTAACAAGCATAGTTCTGTCTATGTGAAAAGTGGTGTAGCTGAGTGCTGTTGTCTATGAAATCATGAAGTCTATGAAGGAGTCAGTGGCTTGACCTTCCTAGAGCTCTTTTTGGAGCTTAAACTTTGTGAGGAATACATGATTTTTGTTAGCTGATTAAACTGACATTCATATGTCTGCTGGCTAATTCAATAGGGTTTTTAGCTAAGCTTTCCCATGGTATGGTGCATGGGAATTAGAATTGCCTTTTATTCCTGTACAATCTGTATCATTCTCCTAGGTCTGTAATGTCAAGATACTGAAAGATGTATTAACTTGCAGTACTAGTAAAGTTCCTGTTGAAACATAGCGAATCAAGAATTTACCATTTTTCTTTCTAAAAACCCCCACCTCTATCTGGTCAGTCTTGGGTTCAGCCTCAACAATGTTTCTGTTTCTTCAATTGATAAAATCACTAAGATTCTTACCCACTGTCATCAGACCTGTATCTTGGCAGTCATTGATATCAAGCCTGTACAGACAAAGTGCTCCTAAGACATTTCAAGAGGAGTTCTGACTTCCCTACTTTGGTTTGCGTTTAGGGGTTTTTTTAATTGGTGGGTTGTTGTTTTTTTTTTTTTTTTTCCCCTTTGGTTGGTTGTAATGGGGTTTTTTTTGTCTGTTTGTTTTATTTGGCTTGTTTTGACACTTTATTCAACACAAAACCTGTTGAATTCAAGAACATGGCTATTTGCAGTTTCGTCCCATGGAGTCTTTCATTGTGCAGACAGGTAATAGAAGGTTGTTTAGAAATAGGCATATTTTCTTTTTCTGCTTGTGTGCCTTCATTGTCAGTAAATGTGTGTCCCATCGACTTACCTGCTATTTCTTTATGCTAAATCTTCTGTCTCAAAGTTTCATATCTATCATATATTAGAAACTGTTTATTTCTGGTTTTTCTGCTATTTGATTTAGTCTTTGGGAAAAATGTTTAAGGAAAATTCAGTGAAAAATATTCTGATTTGGATTCCTTTACTGACTTGGATTAACAATCTTCATTGATAAAATTGGAGGGGCTTTTTTCTCCTAAACATGTTGAAAATTTTTGAAACATTACATTTTGAAACATTATATATATTTCTGCATATATTTAATAGACATATGTCAGAATTTTTTGTAGAATTTGAGGACTGAATTAAAAATTTAGTGTTTATATTTGATGGCAGCAACAGTGGTAAAGTTTGCACTTGTGAGAAGATTTTTACTGATGCCATCTTTCAAACTGAGTTTTGCAGCAGCCCCAGGCAATCCAATTACAAGGTATTTTACAACACAGTCTCCTTTGACTTGATAGAACTCTTTACCTCCTTAGCAAAGATTGAGTTTCAAACTACCTTTGTGCAACTGTAAAGCCCAGATCCAGCACCCTTTCTCCACAGACCCCGAGTCTGATCACGAAAAAAGGAAAAAGTAATAGAATGCTCTTTATACATATCACCAATCCCATCCATTGTCACAGGTAATAGGTAATAATTTCTGTATCCATAAATAGTTAAAGGTTTTCTCTTTTTTTCACATACCTTGGCTCTAGCACATTCCCAGGTAGCTAAATATAAACTCTATATGTGTTTATAATATATATATCTACACACACACACATATATATATACATAAAATTATTATGTACTAATTGTATCTGATCAGCTGTTGACTAGACTAGTAAGACAGTGTATTTTACCCTTTTCTGTATTTTTTTTTCTCTTTTCTCTGTTCCTTCTCAGTTTTTCTCTACCTATTAATTCTTAAGAGTCTGATGCTGGTTGAGCCACTCCTTTTCCTTTGTTGTCCTTCACTTTGGCAGTAAGCAGAATTCTTTGACCTTCTATTTCTCATTTCAAAGAAACTGTGTATATTCCAGATTTTCTCTATACAAGCATAAAATTTACCTAGAAAACAGTTCTTAAAATAATAATGCATAGTACAGTCATTGACTGTGTATAATGATCAAGGAATGTAGAAGATAGGAGGGTTGGGTTTTGTTTGCCTTTTTTTTTTAAAGCTCTTAATTTTATTCACAAAATCTGGGACTTTGAAGATGATTATATTTTTTGGTATTTGGATTTTAAATGTTCTAAAACTCTTTACAGATGTTAGTTCTGGTTTGGTTTTGCGGTTGTTGTTTTTTTGGGTTTTTTTTTTTGAGGGGGCATTATGGTGTTTGTTTTGGTTTATTCTTGGTGGGTTTTTTTGGGTTTTTTTCTTTTATTTTTTTGTTTGTTTGTTTGTTTTTGGTTGTTTTGTTTTGTGGGTTGTGTTGTTTTTTAGTTTTGGGTTGTTGGAGTTGTTTTGTTTTGTTTATTTTGTTTGAATTAGTTTTTGTTTTGGTTGGGGTTTTTTTTGTGAGGGTGTAACACTTTTCCTAAAAAATTTTGCTTGGTTGTTTGTTGGGCTTTCTTACGTCTCTTTCAGGTATGTGTCATAAGCAGAAGAATCCTGAAATCAAATGACAAAACCACATTATAAATTCATAAATATAAATATGAAATGCTACTGTTCTCTGATATTTCATGATAGATTTTTTTTTTCTTCTTTTTAGCAACCTGTACTATTTAAAATGAAAATGTGGTATATGATGTCTTAAAAATATTTCATACTGGAAGGTAGTGGTCAAGGAGAAAAATGTCAGTTGCTAATTAAGATACGCTTCAAGATTAAATTAATTTAATGGACTAGTGAAAATATTGACATCTACAGTATTGAAGAAGAATTCATCCCTAATTCATTTTATTGTATATCAGTGTTTTCCCAGAGCAAGTGGCATAAAGCATATGGCAACAAGAATAATCACAATTTACCTTAAGTTTCTGTTTGACTTCATGTGTTGCCACAACAGTATTTTGCCTGATTGGCATTTAGTGTGTGTTAGTATTTCACTTATCTTAACCAAAGTTATTCCAAAAATCTGAAAGTCTAATTTTATGAGGCCTTTCTTTCTCTGCCATAAGGACATATGACATAGAGTGAACAAGAAAGCTGCCCAGTTTAAGTGTTACTTTCACATACTCTTTCTCCAGATTGCTGTATGAAGCTGTACATAATATAAACACATATTCTTGTCTCTAGTTAGTCACATTATAGTTAATGACCATATGGTCATTATGGTATAAGATCTACTGTCTGTTGTATTTATATTCCTCAAGCATATTGTTCCTTCAACTTCACAGTGTGTTAAACTATTTCAAAGGGAAAAAAATCCTTTCCCTCTTGTTTCTGGTTGTCCTATCAAGTGTAACCTTGGACCCTTATAGAGCAATTAGACCAGCCTCTATCCCCTCCTTTGTAATGAGGTTTCTTGCATTTCTGAGTCTATAACCCTTTAGTCTTCCCTAATGGGACATCATTATTCTGAAAGAAACAATGTAAATGTAAATGAATATTCTCATTAACGAGTCACAGAGAAACCTTTAGTGGTAGCGCTGTGGTAATTCTGCTTGTTATTTCTCTGGTATTCCATGCAGATTTTTTTTTTTTATAATTCATTATTAGTATTCAAAATTACTTCTTCTTTAATTCTGCATGTCTTTCATAATCCGGTGTTCCAACTAGTTCAACCATGTCCTTCTTTTATTCTCCAGGAACCACCTGTGAAACGTTCAAGGTCTCTGTCCCCAAAGAGCTCTTTTAGAGAGTCAGAGGAACTAAAGAAGCTTAAAATAGCTGAAAGGAAGATTGAAAACTTAGAGAAGACACTACAGCTAAAGGTGAACATTAAATAAAAATAAATAAAAAGCCTGCTAGCTATAAGCTTGCATAGATAAAGATATACCAAAACAGACATTTTAAAAATTAAAAATACACTCTCCATTTGTTTTACAACAAATTTTTTCTTTTTCCTTTACAGTGTGAGTAGTCTTACAGCCCTGTGGAAGCTTAATTGCGCTATCATCAATAACACATACTTGTTAAATACATTTTCAAAGTTTGTGTGTGAGTACATATATATATTCTGAGAAATGGATGTGCTCATATGAAGTAAATCAGAAAGAAGCACTGAACGTACAAAGACTTCTTTCCTGTACAATAAAGCCATACTTTAAAATGCTGAAATAACTTAAAAAAGATTGACCCCTGGAAATTGTGTAAGTTATGTCTCAGTTAGGTGCTGGTCTAAGAGTTGCTGTTTAAAAAAATAATAACAATCCCCCTCGCTCCACCCCTTTGTAGAAAATCTTAGTTGAGCTTGTTTTACAGTTGCTCATTTTGTCCTTGTTTCACAGATTTTTGTAGCTGTGTTTGCTACTTTGGTATTTTTCTACAGAGATACAGGAACTTTTAAACAAACTATTGGTTTAAAATTGCATCTCTGAATACAAAATGCAAACCCTGAGTAATTTTTTTTTAAACACTTAAAATTCATCCTCTTCCCTCTCCTCCCTTTCCTCCCTCTCCTCCTTCTCTTTTTTGTGTTGCTTATAATTGTTCAGTTATGGAATTTGAAATATATTTTCAAGTATGTGTACCTAAAGGAGAATTGGTTGTATTGAACATCCTATAATAAAAGTTATGTAAGTGAAAAAATTTGGAAGCTCTACCAACCATAATGATAAGTTAATTTTAGAAAAACTGTAAGTAGGATGTATATTTCAGCAAAAGGCTGCAGTTCATCCATCTGTATACTTGGGAGAGTTTAAAGCATTGTCATAACACATGGGGAGTACATGAACAGGAGAGATTATTTAGATTTCAAATTCAGTCTTCCAGGTTGTCTTGTTCCTGGGAGACAGAAAATTAATTTTGTTTTGTTTTTTCTCTCTGTTGAGTACTCTAAGGCATGTCCCACCAGCTAAACCTGAGAACTGGCCTTTGGGAGGCTTCCTGTTCATTACTCTTACTTGGCCTACCTGACGCTGGTGCTACAGATTATTTTGGAACTGTGAGCTGCAGCTGTTCTGCTCTTGGAAGCAAAACACGCTGCAGTCTATGGCTATTGCCTTAAATGATAGAGAGCTACACATTTCTTTTGGAAAGAGGAGTGAAGGAAAGCAGATGCAGAAGAGAACTCTCTGCATAACCTCATATAATAATTTGTACCATTCACCATACTGCCTTTACTTATCTTCTATTTAATCTTAAAGTATAATTTAAAAATCTGTACAGCTTTATGATATTATAGGCATGGGATCTCTATCACAGACATCCATGATGTCTTTAAGAGCTAAATATCCCCTTGAAAGTGAACACATTAACTTCTTGCTTGTTCTCGTGCAAATCTACTTGGCTTCTTTTGCAGAATACTTTAATGGGTTGAAAAGAAGCTGTAGAGGCCCAGGTCATCATAATAAACACTGTTGGGGCACTACATTCATATTTTGATGAGGCTACTGCTGACATGACAGTGAACTAAGCTGTCATAAAGTTAATGTCAGAACATTTCTGTTGCTATTCTATGATTTCTTAATGCTAGCCTTCTCTTGGGCATTGTTTCTAGCAACAAAAAATGGATTTGACCCACATTTTCAAAACTAGTCCTTGCATTATTGCCTCTTTAAACCCAGTGTTGTCTGTATGATTGCTTGAAATTTTCTTGCTCAGAGAAATGGTTGCTCTGTCAATACACACACTAATAATGCATGTCTGGAACATGAAACGGTGCCTTTATACATTAGTCCTTTTGAAAAATTGCTAACAATAATAATATAAAAGGAACAGCTCTATTTTTGGGGTTTTCAGGACCACTCAGTATTGCAAACGAGCAGAAAATGTCAAGGTCCCATTCACAGGTTTTTCCAGTTCTCTCAGCTGACTCATTTCTCAGTAAGAAAAGTTGGCTCTTAGTATCTTCATTGATAGTATAAATGTGCTAATAATTTAAATTCAGAGTCTTACACAGCATTAGCTTTGTTTCTGGGCATCCTAAAAAGTAACAGAGCACACCTGATTGCACCCTTGATTATGGAAGAGAACATCAAAATAAGTAAGAGGGTTTTTTTTGCTTTAAAAGAACAAATTATCAAGCTGCTACTTAGACTGGTCCAAAGCATAAGTACTTCAATCTACTGTGCATCTTTAAGAAGTGGGTAAGAGTTTGGTTGTTGAGAAGTAGGTATTTGATACAAACTAAGAATACACTGATCTTCTCCTGTATTGCTTCTAGAGCTGTGATCGCTGGAGTAGCCTAGAGGAGATAATCCTGGCTTTAACTGGAAAGGTCTCAAAACCAAGAGGAGCTCTTCCCTTTGAGTTTTCTCATCTGTTTTAGGTTCTAAATGTTTTGAAGGTAAATAAAACTAGAATATGCACACCAGTCTTTAGAGCCACCTTAATACTTGTTTGTGTGAGCAACACCACACTCACATTGACCTCATATTTCATATGTAGTCCATATATAGTGTACAAATGAAAAGAGATTAATATTGCATTTTCCACATAACTGTTTGTGGAAAAAAACTATTTTTGTGACTATTAGGGGCCTCAGTTCTTGTAAGCCTAAGCACAGTCAAATAATTGATTCAGTGTAGTTTTTAAAATTTCCTTTTTACTGTAATAGAAGGTCAATTTCAATTAAAATTTGAATTAGTGATTAGAATCTTTTGACTTGTCTGAGCAGCCTTCCAAAATAAAAAAAAAGACATAGGCAGTGGGGTTTTTCCTCCTGCAGATTGAACTTTGTGTTACTGTTGCATGGGAAGTACTATAGATGACAGGGGGCAGCTGGAGAATAATCTGGAGGTCCAGCATTGCTAGAGATGGTTATTCTGTCCCATGTCTGTGAATATATACAAAACTGTGTACAAGATGGTTTAGTTATGAAATGTAACATAATTCAGACAGAGATGAATCTAACAGATTATGGAAATTTCAGTGAATATTTTAAGTCCTGAAGTGCTTAATTCAATAGAGAGAGTGATTAGGGCAGTTAATTGTCTAATTTCTATTTCTGCAGGAGCAGAGCAAGTGATAAGGGAAGGCAGTAACTGTAACAGAATGGATAATAGAACAGGTAAGCAATAATGAAAAATCCAGATTCATAAATAGGAAAGGCCAAATTCTACAGTTGGTTGCATCTCTGAAAGGGCATTGACACTAATAAGCTTCTGAGGATTTATATTAAAGACATTGTTTTCTAGTACCCTGCCAGACTTGACCAGTTTTTGCTAGCAATATCAAAAAATCTCAGAACAGTTGTTTCATGAACTTCTTTTGAAAACACAACATCTATAATTGTATTCTTGTGAAAATTTCCTCTTGCAAAGCTTGGTAATGGTCTCTATGTTCTTAGTCTAAGATTTATATTGCTGTTTATGTGGTTGTTTTTAATATCATTGTGGTATTTAGATGAATCACATAAAACTAGTCAAAAGTACTTTTTTAACAGTTCAAAATTTATAAATGTATTTGGTTTAGAGGTTGTTTCAGGGAAAAATCCTACCACAAGCACTTTGGGAAAATATTTCGTGGTAAGGTAGTATTTAGTCCACTTTGGACTTGATTGTGTTCCTAAATCTTCTCCTTTTGTTTCCTGAATCACTTCCAGAAAAGTTCTGGAATTTAGTACTGTTCTGGTATATAGTACTGTTTGAAACTTTAGCTGGTATCTGTCAACTCTGTGCACCACAAAAGCTGGGTACATTCGATAAGCCAATTTTATTATAGGTGCTTCATAGTTGTGAGTACTCTGGAAACCCTTGCCATGTTTTTATAGTGGGATTCAATTTTTATTGTTTGCAGCTCTGACTATTCATCTATCTAATTTATTGACTAATGCTGAAAAGTCCTCCTTACATATAAGCAGAGTAAACACTTGCAAATAAGGTATTCTGATTTATTTTGTTCTGTAGTTGCTCTACAAGCAGAGCTCCCATTGAACTGAAAATGAAGCTCTGATGGTAAATTTTGCTACAACATAATGAATTCTGTGCTGGTGAATTCTTTACTAGTGTATGCCAGAGTTTGACTAGCTTCATAGTGTGAAATTCTTCTTCTTAGTGTTGTTTTGGTGGTTTTTTTGTGGGTTTTTTTTGGGTTTTTTTTTGTTTGTTTGTTTGTTTTTGTTTTTGTTTTTGTTTTTTTTCCCAAGAGGACTGTATTGTCATTTAGGAAAGTCTGTTTTTAAGCTTACATGATGCTATCCTGTAATATAAATCAAGGTGTATTTTACTTTTTGCTATGTACATTTTTTGTATGATTTTGATTATATAAAAGTTATTGTAAAAATTGTGTTTATTTCTTGTTTGCTGCATTACTAGAGGAAAAAGTCTGGGTGTTGCAGGTGCATATATATTTACAGAAACAGCTTACTTTGTGAGGAAATCCTGAAGCCATTTAAATGTAAGTTTTTTTCATATGGCCAGTATTTCCCTTGAAAGTACATAGATCAGTTTTCCATTGGGAAAAAAAGTAGTTTGAATGAAAAAACAATGCCAACAATCCTTTTTCAGCCTATGTGTTTTAAAATGTATTAGGCTTATGCTTTCACTAGATAAAAGCTGGCATTTTGGTTGTAAATTTTTAAAACTTTCAGCAGCCTGAAAATAATAGTTAAATGAATTGCTGAATCATCAGAATTTTCCAAAGTAGTAGTAAGAAAACTTTGACCTCAAGGACTGCGAGTGCTGGTCTTTCTGTTTAGATTTCTGAGTCTCATAGTAGTTGCTAAAAGAGATCCTTTGTTTCATGTGATCTGTGTAACACCCTTTTACATTTTGTCCAACTCTGATTTTGTTTTTCTGGTTTCATACAGTCTCGAGAATCTTAAGAGCTAAGAGCAGGCTATGAAAAACATGAAGAAAGGCTGCAGATGTTACAGACCAACTACAGAGCACTAAAAGAGCAATTACAGCAGTGGGAAGAGGGCAATAGCAGGTAAGTTACATAGCTCATTAAAAACATTTTCCTTACAGAAGAAAGGTGAACAGAAGTATTTCATAGGTATTCAAAAGAGAATGTGATTTGAAGGAAGAAGCTACTATGTGGTGATCAAGACTATCCTTTGTTACAGCAGAATACACAGTTTACCCCATGTGAGAAAAATTGTAGTTGAAACCAAGAGGAAATATATTGAGCTGACTTATTTTATTTAGGCTCTCATTGATAGCCTGAGTACTGGAGAAAGGTCAGCTAGGACTGCTTACTTGCATTTGTCTAATTCCTCACTCATTTATTTTGTTGACTATATATTTTTAATTTTCTGTAACACAGCAGTTGCTCATTATTTTTCAAATAGTTTTTAAAGATAGTTTTATTCATTAAAATATAGAAACAATATCCTCTAACATTTAGTGATTCATATATTAACTGAGGCTAAAATCTCCTTCCTTATAAAGAAAATAATATGTGCATGAAAGCACGGTGTTTTCATCTGTTAAATTATTTAAAAACAAATGATTTCTGATAATTTTACGAAAAAATGCAGTAATATATCTTCATTAATGGAAAGAGGAAAGACTTTACCACATAAAATTTGCATAATGAACATTCTGTATATCATTCTCCCTTAGGCTCTATACAGAACAGTGAAAATTTTATGCAGAAATTCTTTTTTTAAGTCCTTAGCAGACAGAATTTTTGGTAAACAGATGCAATTCAAGGTATGAAAACATTTCTTATCAGTTCAGTTATCAAGCACTGTGTTTTTCAGGACCTGTTTCAAGAAAGTAATTTCCTTGTGGCTTTAGCAGGGCTTTAGCATGCACCTAACAGCTCAGTAAACACTTGTGTGTCTTACTAAATTATTTTTGCAGTCAGAACAATACTGACTAATATAGACACTAACTTTTCAACTCCCTCCAAAGATAAGGAGAGTCACAGAAAGTGCTGCAAAACTGGTAGCTATTCAGAGTCTGGGGTGACATAAAACATCCTACTGTGAATGATAAACTGTTCCTTATATATGAATAATGCTATGGCCTATCTTAGTAGATTTGCATTGCTTTGAAATACTACCATTTAGTAGGAGTGGTTTCTCTTTAAAAAAGGCAAAAAAAAGATGTGGGTGGAAACAATGGTGAAGTATAAAATTGCTATGAGCATCGGTGGTAGCAGGGAAGCATTTTTTGAAATACCTAAGCACAATGGCAAATATATTGGGGTAAATTATAATGAAAAGGTTTTGTAAGGATTTTTTTCCTTCTAGTTCACTGTTTTAAATTTAGTGCAATCTGGAAGTGACTTTTAAGGATGATAGTTACTAAATTCAATGAAATTATTTAATTCTGTGTCTATACCTAGACAGGCTTTCATATCCACTGAGAGTCCAAGGCTAAGAGATAAAAAAAAGTGAACTAGATAAAGACATTAAAATCTTAAACTTGATATACAGTGAAGCACTGGGTGTTCTGGTTCTGATAGTTAAAAAAATTAAAAAGAAATGGGAAAGAGAGACAAAGGTTACTTCTGTTTAAAGTAAATGAGACGAGCTTGTGTTATAATTAATGTATTTGGGAAAAGTAGATATTGGGGAGAATATAATGCTCAGTCTTCACTTAGTCATCCATTTTTTTCATCTCTATTTAAGATGAGCTGAAAAAACAGGGTTTCAATAGTCTTTGTTATCAGATTAGATTTGTATGAAGCAACACTGAAGGACTTCTGGTTTTCATTTTTAATATGCTTAAACAGAGGAAAGTAGACTGACACAAATAAAAGCAGTCTTTAACAATAAGACTCTGTTATTTTGGTATCACAAAAAGCTGTATAGTGCTGCTGTAATGTAAATTGTGCATTAAGAGCTCAGTATCAGGTGCTTATGTGGCATTTCTGATCCTTTGTAAGTGATGGAGGACCCCATTCTCCATATTCTTCATAGATTAGTATCTGTTGTTGAGATGGCAGCTGATGGGACCTAATCCACCTGTCAGTGTACATACAACTTGCACTGATGTACGTGACTGCAAAGATGATGGGGGCCTTAAGAGGTTACCACATTGTCTGAGAGTTTATTTCTATGCCCAGTAGGAATTTGGATTGCAGAGTTTTAAATTGATTTAATAAAGGATTTTTTAATACTATTTTTATCTTTGGCATCATTAAAATACCTAAAAATATTTTAATGCCAGAAAAAAATAATTTTAATTAATTTTAATTTTATTTTTCTGTGCTTCTGAAGACAATCTGCTTTTTCTTAATACATACTCTCATCCATAGATAGTTAATTCCTTTATCAAATTGTAGAACAAAAGTGTGATTTAGCATTACTTGCAACTTCCAGATTGGCTTGCTGGGGTATTAGGGGAGCTGATGACTCTCCCTTAATTTTCAAGAGATTATGTGATGATTTTAACTTCTTCTTTCTCATAGCAGTATTTAAAGTAATATTGTCAGAATGTGGGTGACACTATTCTGCTGCGTCACCTGGGAGGCATGGTGTCATACTGGCACAATATCTGTCTGAAACTATGTAATTGAACTTCTCTTTATTACCACAGTTAAGATTTCATGCCTCAGAACATATACTTCATACAAAATTCAGATTCAATGGATGCTGTACTTGAAAATTTGTATTTTCTGAAAGCAGGGATGCTTTTTTTATGGTTCTCCTAAAACATTTAAATATTTGAAAACAAGCAACATTTTTTTAACTCATAAACAGCCTTGAAAATAGTAAAAGCAGATACCAGCATACAGGCTTCTGTCAGCTTTGTCAAGAAGATCCTGATGTGATGTGGAATGAACTGGCTTTTTTCAAAAGGGGGCACAAATAGCTGCTGATTGAGAAGTGAGTTTGTTTCTTAAATGGTGTTTAAGTAAAGAAACATACTGGTTTTATTCTAAAGTGCTTTACAGGCCATACAAGAGGAATTCCTTGCAAAATTCCATTATAAAAACATCTACCAGAAGCAGGAAAGGAAAACATCAACTCTTTTTTTTTTCCTTCCTTCGCTCTCCCCCTTAAATCAGTGACAAGTTACAAGTTTGCTAGCACTAACAGAAACTGTATTCCATGATCTAGGGATTGTGTTAATTAATGTGGCTCTCATCTGTTGGAGGTGTCGCTCTTCATTAGCCTGTATTTTACACACTGCCGTGCTTCATTTTTGGAATGAGGTGGTGAGGGGATAACCTAGCCAGCCATCCTTGTTTGATCTCTGTGATACATACGCAATGCAGAATGCCTCAGCTCTCTTGGTTCCCTGCCCTGTCCTGCTAATCCCAGCTGAGCTCATTATGGTGTAGCCTTGCTGCTACTCCTGGAGCCAGAGCTGTCCAAGCTAATTACTGGTAGCAGCAGAGCTGCCTGTTAAGGGTCTGGTGTGGATCTGCTAACATGGTCCTTGGTAGTGACCTGCAAAAAGCACGAGGGAGTTGCTCTCTTTCTTGCTGTGCATAGCCTGTCCTTTGGGTTTAGTGCTGATCCCTTCACACAGCTCTTTCAGCTGTAGTAAGTGTAAAACTTGGTGAAGGAAACTCTTACTTTAGAAAACATACAGTTTGCTGCTTTGATCTCATAATTCATAGGCTATTACACTCAGCCAGGCAAAGTAAAAAAATGTCCTTTTATACTAGACAAAAGGAAGTTAGTATGGTATAATTAGCCCTTTGCTGTGATTTAACACTTTCTGTAAGTGACTATGATTTTTTGTTTTAATTTAAGAATCAAGACATCAGAAAAAGTTTTATTCAGACTTTTTGTCAGCATTAAAAAAAAAGTGTTTTCCCAATGGATCACAATATAAGCCCATTTTGTGGCAATACCATGAAGGCTGCTTTTACAGAATTTCAACAGCATCAAATTGTTTTGTTCTATGTAAGTCCTTGTGTTGACCATAATCTCAATTAGTGCATTATAGGCAATGTTGCCAGTACCTGTATTACATGGGGTATTCTTATATCTGCCACTTAAAATTGTGTGCCTGTTCTTGTCACTTCATTGTCACCTCTTTTTGCTGTTTTGAAGATACAACAACAAATTATCACATGAAATTATTTTGTGGGTTTTCATTTTTTATTTTTATGTAGGAAAGAACACTTTCTTGCCAGGTATGTAATTGCATACATGTAATTCCCCTTCCATCACTAGTGAACGCATTCACCACAGACAATAGTAACTCAAGAGCAATTATATAAGCCTCTTTTTTCATACAGAGCCATGCAAGAGAGATTGCTTATATATTGTGCACATGCTGAAGGTTGGTACAGTTGGACTGCTTTTCTAGAGTTCCTGTGCAGTCACCTTTATGGGAACACCCTTATTTCTTGTATGTTGCAGATCATTGACCTTGACTAGACTGTGGTGATGTGTCATAAGCAAACAGTTGTGCTCTTCAAGATACAGGATTTGTAAGACAAAATGGGTTCATAGCTGTCCAAGGATTTAGTAAGAAGCCAGTGCAGCATTGTGTTCATTAAGGTGAACTCCTTGTGTGGATTTAGGTGCCGTCTGTTCCTTAGGGCAGTATCACTTCCTGTTGAAATAAGAAAGAAATTAATGCATAATTGCAGGGTTTATATCTGTCTTTCTCTAATAGTGACAATCTTTAATTTGTTGAAGGAAGTCACCATTTCAGGATTTTAGCTCATTTTCTTAAGAAAGTCAATACTAAATTTATTGTACTTTTTAGATATGTGGCTAGAGCTTCTTTATATTGCTTCTATTGTTTTTTAAGTTCTATGGATAAAGGACATGATTTGTGGAGTTGGACCAGTTGCTTACATGTGTAATATTACAGGCAGTGTTAAGAAAATCAGGTTAGCCCATAGCTTTGTGAATGCACTTAACTGGCAAGTACATACTGATTATCTTAAGTTGATGTAGATCATACATAAACCAAAACCAATGTACCATTTCTTAAAGAAGAGTGTAGGGATTTTATTTTGGTACAAGTTTTAACTTTGAATAGGTAAAATTTCTCTCTGGCTAAACCAAAGAGTGAATGTCTCGAAAAGAGGATTATTTGTTATTGCTTGTTTATATATTTAATTGTAAGAAAGACTTTCTCTCCCATCTTCTGAGGGATAGAGCAGTGAGGTAAAATGTCTTTAATATGCACATACATTTGTTATGGTTTTAGCTCTCCCCTGGACCCACACCAGAGGCTTCATGACTCCCTTCCAGAGGAACTCAGAACTGGAAACAGCAATACAGACGTGGCCTCACCAAGGCTGAGCAGAGAGGCAGGATCACCTTTCTAAGCCTTCTAGTAATGCTCTTCCTAATGCACCTCCAGGACACACTGCTGGCTCATGGGCAACTTGTTGACCTGAAGGACTCACAGGTCCCACTCCACAGAACTGCTTCACTGCACACCCAGTTGTTTTGTTTCCTGATTGCAAGCTGGCTAATTTAAATTATTTTGGCTTTTCCGTGTCAAAAGCTATTTAGCTGGAACATAGGAATACCCTGTCCCTTTGGCCTTTAGACACAGATTTTGGAAACATATAGATGACTGAATATAAACTGTTATGGAATATAAACTAGTGGAATCTTCACAATTTTACATATTTCATTCTTTTTTTTAAAGATAAGTAATTTTTTTTCTGGCAAGCTTCCACTTACATTTTTACCAGTCACTCTATCAACTGTTTTCCAGTGAGAGGGTTCTGTCAAAGATAATGAGATTGATGTTTTTTAATTGTTAAGCTTGTCTCTAGAACATTCCTTACCTGTGTCCACCAGATCTTGTAATTTCCTGCATCCTAGCTTACAGACAAATTTGAGGACTTAATGTGTTTTTTTATATCAGATGTGTTTGTGTTTTTCCTTTGTTCCTTCATATTTAATCAGACATGTCTTGTACTTTGGTGCCCGCTCATATATGATGGAATTGTGTCATATTAAAAACATGAGTCACACAGCTAAACATTTTTTTCATAATACAGAAGCAGATAAATGCAGAATTAAAGTTGCATTAATGATAAAATTTGGGTGTTGTCAGGGGCAAAAATTGCAGCGAGATGGTGGAGAAAGTTAAGGAGTCTGTGTTAGCTTCCCTTTGTATTGTTGCTTGCACAGAGCTATTGCTTGCCTTGCTGTTGGATCAGAATGATTTCTGTAGATTATTTGGTTTAGAAATGATTAGTTGTACGTGTGGTAAGCGTGCTGCCTGCAGAAGAACTGTGTTTTTCTTATTCCTCTGTTTGGCCTAGACAAAAGATCTTCAGCATTCAGATGGAAATATCTGATTTATTAGTCTTACAGATATGCATGCACGTATGAAAGCAAAGTACTAAGTGTGTGTCATATTAAACTGTACAGAATGTTCATAGATGAAGCCTGTGAACCTACAGTCAGTAATACCAAAGCACACTGATTGCTGATAACATGTCAGATTGCTATTTTAAGAGAATAAGGAGTGAGTAATGAAAATAAGTTTCTCTATAGTACGTTCTGTGAAGTTCTGGGATTTCTGGTAAAGGTAGCAGTGCTTGGTACATTCTGGCAAACATAATTCAACATACACTGCTAATTTTCCACTTGCCTTTGCATAGTTCTGACTTTGGAAGGGACATTATAAATTTTTATTATTCCATGTATCTCAGCTTTGATAATACCATATGGAACTTCAAGAACTGAATTTTGAAAAAACATAGAAACACTTGTTTCAGAGAGTACAAATAATACTTTACAACGAACGTTATTAAACATTGTTTATGTATTCTTGCTTTTTCTTTTCAACTCTTTCCTAAAGTATCCTGTTTTGTAATTCTAGAAAGTCAAATGTGGTGCTTAGCAGACATTTATTGTGACCCAGCATGATTTTTGTGTTAAACTACTTAGTTTTCTTTTGTTGTATGAGGCAGAATATGAAAATACGTTCAAAAGTTTAACCTATCCTAATGCGTTGGAATATTTTTATAATTTCTAAGGAATTCAGAATGCATTTTCTAAGAATTATTGTTGTATTTGCCTTTTTCCAAACACAGTAAGGTGCATGTAAACATGTAATCATCAAAATTTTCCATAATCTCAAATGCTTCAGTAGGAGAAATAAAATAAGTAATTTGTTTTTATCCTTACTTTGCATTATGGAAATCAGCTCCATACTAACAGCAGTGTGTAGGCAAGAGACTTTAGTGTATTGTCATATGAGGTTTATAAAGGTTAAAAGGACTGATACAAGAACAAAATTCTCTTGATATTCCTATAATGGGTGATGTACCCTCTTTTCTGAGTTATGTTGATGGCAGTGGTACTCCAGTCTTGGCTCTTGAGGTTGTATCTGTTTTGAACTAATGACAGGTACAAATAGTGTTTATGAGGCTGTTCTGATGGTCTTATTTTAAAAGAATGGAAACCTTCAAATTTGTATAATAAACACAATTCACACAGTGTAACATTTATATTTTTGTTAAACACTTATATAAATAAGATGGATTTTGTGCTTCAGTGAAAGAAATTAAAGATAGATAAAATTTTAGGCATGGGTTTCTACCATCCTTTTGCAAACTAAAGGTTATGCTGCATGTTGAAACTATCTTAGTCACTAGTGCTTCTTTGAGTGTGGAGTGATCATTGACTTGAAATATATCTCAAAAAGCACTCTTGACAACTGTGACACTATTCACTATTTTGTTACGTGAGCAGACATTGGACTGTTGAGGGGGGAGTTGCTTTTATCTTTTTTTTTTTGCTCCTGAATGTGGGCTGTAAATCTGGAAGACTTTACTTAGCAACAGCAGATACCTCTTCCTGCAATTTTCATCCATCCTAAGAGCAACTGAATTGGGAAACAAGAATGATAAAGACATATTTCTGGGAAGTGGATGCACAAGGAAGATAGATAGCTTAAATACTCTATGTAGTTAAATACTTCATTTCCTTAGTTAATTAAGACTACAGATTCTTAGTGTAAACTGTAAGTTTACAAAATTTTTCCTGTAAAGGAATTCCAGTAAATCATTCTGGATAGGGTGAATAATCACAGAGTGGGAGTAATGCTAGTACTTTTTCCTTTACTCTTACCTTGGTAGTGTTATCCTCAGACATATCTAATGCTTTCTGCTCTCTCACTGTCTATATCAAACACCTGCTCCCAGGTTTGCTCTCATTTTCCAAGGCTGTCATAAATATACAGACCCATGAAAAGAGCATTTTTTGCCTTTACTCCAGGCAAATGTACTTGAATCATAATACTGTAGGAAGAATCATTTGCTGTGACAAATTTCTGTCTGAGAAGTATTTCATCTGTAAAACTTGGATATCCAAGTTTCTGCCTGTTTTGGTTCTCCTGTCTTGAAATAATTTTAGAGTAGTAGAAAACTAAAATGAATTTTCCATTATGACATAGAAGACAATTTTTGACAGCCTCGTCCTATATTTTCTATATGGGCTTTTTACAGAAGTATGTGTAATGTGCATGTGTGTTCTACTCTTGTTTTACAGAGTGGAATTTTTAGCCTTCTAAAAATTAGAAAAGAAGAGAAGAAAGAAGAGAAAGTGCTGTTCAGCTTTGCTTACCTAGATGTTTCTCTGTTGATGTATTGTCTTTCTTCTCAAACACCTTTCTTTTCTGAGGGAAAGAAAACAGAGCTGCATCTGCTGTCCTATTTTCCTTGCAAGGATTATTAGGCTATTTAATTTAAGCTTTGGATAAGAAAAAATTTCTTTGACATTATGTTGACCCGGTCTCTTTAGAACTTATTTTTGGTTACTGTAATAAGCAGTGCTGCTGTCCCTTTTTAAGTACTGTGATAAAGTGTACACAAAGCTTGGTTAGCAGTCTTTTTCTGTGTGATTTTTTTTTCTTCATTTGGCTTTCCTGTCTTTAACAGTCTTCCGTGACTCTGGAGGAAAATGGTTGAAAAGGCAATAGTTAACCTTGTGGACTCAGAGGAAGGCTTCCCTGACTGCAGCAGCTCCTGGACTAGCCCCCTGATATCTGTCCATACCAGCAACAATGTGCATTAGGAGATTGTGGTTGGTTGTGCTTATTTCTCCAAAGAGTCATCCTGCTGCAGTCTTTACAACATGTAATCCTTGGGAAGGAGTCCGTTTCCTCAGTGGGTTGTTCCATCTTATGTATTCAGCTCTATTAGAAATTAGATTCTCTGCATGGTTTTATTTTCCACTTAAAATTCCCTGGGACCAATGGGAAAAATGTCTTAGTGTTTGTTTGGATGTTTATTTTAGACTGCCATGAGCTTGCTCTCTTAATTCCTTTTATCTGTATGCAGGGGAGTGTAGGAGTCTCCTGCTTGTCTTACCTATGAATGCTGAAAGCTGCTGATGAGCCATGGCTGACTTCTGGGATGTGTATTACTCAAGAGGCAGTTGTTTGCTAGAGGACTAACTAGAGTCTTCTGGCAATGGGTTAACCCAGGGTCAGCAACTCTGGAGGGAAGGAGCCCGTTAAACTCATAAGTGCAGAGAGAAAGTTTATGCTATAGTTCAGGCTGAATTTCTCAATTACCTTTTCTTTAATGCATTGAGGCCCAAGTGCACATGTGTACATGTACCTTAGATTTGGAGTTGTGTGAGGGCTCCTGATGGTATCTTTAGAACTGCTGACAATTAAAAATGATGAGTACTTGGATTTTTGTTATAGCAAGAGGGTATATTTTGCAGAAGCCCTGCTTATATGCAGATGGTGGGAGCAATTCTCCTATTCTAATAATTTGATAAGTAAGCAACTGTTACAAAGAATTTCTTGCTGATGCCTAGCTATAATCTAAAAGAAATTGGAAGTAATTATTTTAGCGTAAATGATTCTATAGCACAGTTTTAAATATGCTACCTCTTCCTATATTCAAAATCAGTGAGTATTAAAAAAAATCCTACAAAAAGGAGGAGTAATCAAAAGTCTTATATTGTGAAAAATAGAGCCCAGACTATTGTATCATACTGAAAACATCAGATTCTGTAATTGTGGGTCAAGGTCAGTATTTTCAAAAATGCGTGCAATGCCACCATAAACTATTATCTGCATAGATTTGATCTCTGTTGATTTCTCATTTTAATACTGCCAGGTGAGACTGTGGCAATCATAGTTGGGGGATAAAAATGAAGTATTTGTACATAAAACAGGATGCCACAGGCTTTCCGGTCTTGATGGTCCATTTTTATATGTGTTATAAGTAAGAGAGAATGACTTTTATAATTAAATTAATTGTAGTAAACAAAATACTTTGAGGTTGTTCTCAGGATGTAAAAACACATGATTAGAATTCTGGCCTGC